GGACAAAGTGCAGGCAGGACCAGCTACATAATTTGTGGGCATGGTACAAAATGAAAAGAAGGGAGCTTCTCATTCAAAAATTATTAAGAAACTCAAGACACTGTAGCAAAGCGTTCAACCAAGTGCAGGGCCCATCTAGATGTGGGGCTTTGTGCTATGGGTTGCATACCTATGAAGCCAGACAGAATCAGTGGATTCTGGGCAGGGCTGCCTCTTGCATTCTGGTTGGGGAGTAGGGTGAGCTTGGGAATGTCCTCTGAGTATGGCTTCCTCCTCTCCTGAAGTCCTTTCTTCTGTGTGAAAGTCTAAATGCTTTCTAGCAAAGATTTAGGGTTTCCCAGCCTAGACCAAGTTGTGTCTATGACGGCGAGCATAGTGGGAGTGGGAGAGAACTGATTACAAAGTCCAGTCAAGATGCTTTTTAGAACAGAGGTTCTCACATGCTGGTCTACAGACCTAGTCTGGCTTTGATGAAGTTTTTGTCTCTCTGATATAAAACAAAAGAAATAAGGACACAGTAGTGAAGCTTTTTGGGTATGTGTTTGTTTTTGCTAAAGCTAAATTTATTCAATGTAATGGCCACTCCTTTATTCTATGATTGTGTTTGTCTTATAATTTTGATGTTAAAATGTTCTTTCTGTCATAAAGAGGTACTCATGATACATGGTGGTTGTTTTTGAAACTTCTTCACTAGGTAAATAAGAAGTTGAATACTCTAAGGCATGATTCCCAATATTTTGGAAAAATTTTACTAGTTCATGAAACAAGTCTGGGAACCCCTCGACCAGAAGGGGAGGAAGAACAGGGTAGTATGGCAGAAGGAACTCTGGGCTGGGGGACACCCCTTAGCCTTATATGGGCCACTAACTGTGAAGTCTTGGGTGACTCCTTTCCCTTCTTGGGACCATCATCCTTAGTGCTACTCTAAGGGGCCTGAACAGATGATTGCTTTGTCCCTTCTGACTTCAGTATTTTCTACTAACTCTGATTGCATAGCTCTCCTTGCTAAATAACAGTGAGGATTTGGATTATAGACTTAATGTATACCATTTATCCAATTCATCGAGAGACACAGAGGAGCCAATTTAAGATAATCTGTAGCTGGGTGCAATGACTCACGCCTGTAATCCCAGCACTTTGGGAGGCGGAGACAAGAGGATTGTCTGAGTCCAGGGGTTCAAGACCAGCCTGGGCCACTTGGCAAGACCTTGTCTCTACAATAAATCAAAAAAGTTAGCTGGTGGCAATCATCTGTGGTTCCAGCTACTTGGCAGGCTGAGGCAGAAGGATCACCTTAGCCCAGCTGGTCGAGGCTTTGGTAGCTGTGAGTATGCCACTGCACTCCAGTCTGGGCAACAGAGTGAGACTCCTACTCAAAAAAAAATCTGTAAATAAAATAATCACAAGGGTAATCCAACAACTGCTCAATAGATGCTGAGGAGCCGGTCACCAAATATACTAAGATATGTCATAATGGTTGGGATACCAATAAGAAAGTTCTATCTTAAGAACCATTGGCTTAGTCACATTGTGTTTGCCAAATAGGCAGTAAACATCTGCTTCCTCTTTAATTCTTTCCTTTATATTTCATCCTTTATAAAATTCCTTAGGATATATTTTTCTTGGACTATTTAGCCCTGAGTACAATTTTGAAAGGGAAATTTTCAAATTACTTCCTTAATGCATTACAAAAACATGATAAAGGGATTTGTCAATTTAACAGAGTCTCAGTCTCTGCTTTGTACATAATAGGCATTCAATAAATATTCGATAAATAAATTTTAATAAAATGTGCTCACACTGTGAGTTTGTCCCATTATAAACATATCTAGCATCTATTCTTTTTTTTTTTTTTTAGAAAAGAGTTAAATTTGCTAAAGGGTCTCTTGCACAGCTACTGTACAGTCTACTCTGTGTTTCTGGAATTGTCAAAACAAACTTAACTGCTCTCAGGAACTCCGTCTAGTATCACTGTCAAAATGTTTTACAACGATTCGGCCAAATGTTTGTGGAACAGCTGTGCTACTAGTCTGCCTGAGTCATTTTCCTTCTTTCCTTTTGGGCCAATCCTGTGATTCATCATCCTGCTTTTAGAATATTTGCCTATTTTTAAAACCAGTCAAAGAAGGCAGCCTCTGTTTAAAAGTAAACACACCACACATCAACTTGGGGCAGCTTTGTAAGCAGCTTCACAAGCCCTGAAATTTCTGACTGGTAGAGATGCCAGCTAAACCAGATGGCACTGAGCAGTGAAATACAGGCCTGGCTCTCAGACTTAGTCGTCTCCGTACATCTGTCTTTGGTTTTCTTATTTCCGCTGCTATTTCCTGCTTGGGTTAATCCAACTTGATCTATTCTTTAACAAAACTCTTACTTATTTTGCTTGACTCTCCAAGACCTCCATTGTATGTTGATTTCTATGTTAATCAATCAGACTTTTATTTCAACTCAAGGAGTCCAATCTTAAGTCTTCATTGATCTGCAGAATTGTTAGTAGGTCACGTATGTGTGACTCGACATGGTGTGACTATAAATAATGATGGAGATTTCCACAACGGGCCTTGTTAATTCTGGGTCATACCAGGTACTTGCTATTTATATAACTGTAGTAAAGCAAATGGGTACCTTTTTTTTCTTTTTTATAATTAAGCAGAAAGGAGTGTGACTCCACAGGGACTAAGGCAGATTAAGTCTCAGAAAGCCTTGGGTTTCATTCTTGGCTGTCTTCTAGAATGTTTTGTCTGTTCTCATACTTTATGGAAGTGGTCTCCTTCCAACAAGTGCTTGCTCACCTCTGATTATTAGGGTTGGGATGCCCAATTATAATATCTTTCCGTTTATCTGTGCCAAATCACTTTGGCCTTAGACCCAATGATCTCAAATAATTATGATGTCTAGGTTATTGAAATTGTACCGACGTAAAATGCACTTAAGACCTGAATCAGTTTTACAAAGTATAGGATTTATAATGAAGTCTACTTCTAAAGTTTCAGTGATGACAAATATCTATTTCTGCGTTTCGTCCAATTCTGTGCAGATGATAGGGTGGATATCAAAAGCAACAGTAATTGGCAGAATTTGTCATTTCTAGTCTGAGTAGTAAGACAGTATTCAAAGGGCTTGGGGATTGGATTCCATTTTCCTCTGAAGACTGTCTTCCAGTCTGAAGCAAGTGTCTTGGGAAATTTCTGTTTTCACTTCTCTGCAAAGCTAAAGTGAAGTAGTGTCAGTGGACTCTTTGGTATCTATTGTCTGGCACAGGTACAGATACAAAATAGATTCAAATTTTGTGATGCATTGTCATTGTTTTAAGGCACTTTTCCATGAGATTATTATACTACTACTACTACTTTTGACTAAAATATGCCAGAGGCTGTTAAGTGACCCTTGAGGCTATTGGCAGAGGTTAGTATCCTTGTTTGAATTATCTTTCTGGTGATTATCTTTGATGCCTTCAACAGAATGTAATCTCTTCGATGCCAGGAATGCCTCATGTACTGCATTTTATTCTGGACTGTGCTATCATTGGGTTGGGAGGGGATACTTGTTTCTGCATTGTATATGGCCCATATCGCTTCCTCCAGTTCAAAAAGAACATTCATCAGTTTTTATCAATACATTTGATTATGATAGTGAAAACATAAAAAACATTCTCTTTCCTTGCTTTATTATAATTTAAAATAGCTTTGTGGCCAGGTGCGGTAGCTCATGCCTGTAATCCCAGCTTTGGGAGGTTGAGATGGGAGAATTGCCTAAACCCAGGAGTTCAAAACCAGCCTGCGCAATGAAGTGAGACCTTGTCTCCACACACACACACACACAAAAAGACAGGCATGGTGGTGTGAACCTGTAGTGTCAGCTACTCAGGAGGCTGAAGCAGGAGAATTGCTTGAGACCAGGAGTTCGAGGCTGTTGTGAGCTGTGAACATGCCACTGCACTCTAGCCTGGGCAACAGATTGAGACCCCAACTCAAAAAAAAGTAGCTTTGGTTTTTAAGTTATACTTTCAGCTTTTATTTTGCGCATGTGCCATACACATATGTGCATATGTAAGGTATATGTATATGAACTTGTATATGTATTGAAGTAGAGATTGGAGATGGATGGCCCATGGACCCTCAGAACCAGAATGTGCCTAGAGCTAACGGAGGTTCTGCCCACCAGGGGGCTGTTCTGTAGCACTGGGGCTGGGTCAGCAGTATGTTCTTGAAGAGACTTGGGGGTAACCTGGATATTCTAGGCCAAATATCTGTCAGGTTTCCTCGATTGCTTCTGAGAACTGCATCTTCTGGTCCAGCAACAGCTGCCGATGGCCCATCAGTCAACTTAAGCACTTGCTCAGGAGGCCTTTCTGGCTCTCCCTTAATAAGACTGTGAACTCTGCCTCAGGCTAGGAGTGCTGCCTGGTGCTTTGGGAAGATCCACCCTGTTTGGGTTGCTGCCTGCTACCCAGTATAACCCTGAACAAGTTTTGGTTAACTGCCTGTTAGTGGTGGTTTGTGGTGAGAGCAGAGGGCAGTACCATCAAAGCTTGCAGCTCTTGGGAGCAGACAAATGCTTCTATTTTTCACTGACATGTTCTTCTGTCCCCTTGAGATTCTTCTGGTCACCTCATTAGCACCTTGTTAAAGCATTTTCCTGCATATCATATTTGTTGGCTTTGGGCAATGAAGGAGTATTGAAAGACAAGTAGTTCTTCTTCATTAGAGACCTACCAGACTGAACATCTGAAGATTCTGGTATTTGTTTGTAAAATTTGGTTAGCCCAACTAAGCCCTGCATGCTTCTGTGTGTACAAAAATGAGAAAAATGCTACTGTGTGTAAAAAAAGGAGCAAAATGTCTTTGACATTCTGTCTGTCTCCAACCGAAGTGATGAAAAGAACTGAAAGAGTACATACTGATGGTTTAACTATGTGAATCCAAGGATGGTCCAAGCAGGGCGACTTTTATGTACGAAAGGGCTCTAGAGTGAAGAATCATTTTATTTTCATGTTTTAGATGATACACCTCCTGAAGACTCCATTCCTTTGGTCTTTCCAGAATTAGACCAGCAGCTACAGGTAAGGGTTTTTCTAAAGTGTCTCTTCTTTCTTCCTTAATGTCATAAAGTATAGTAAGCTGGGTGGTGGCCTAACTGGGAGAGACTGACTCAGACATGGGTGGGGGGAATGGGGGGTGGTAAAGTCATCAAGGTTCACAGGTCTAGAGCTCCAAAGTCAAGCGGAAGACTTCATGAAATGCCCCTGTCTGGGTGTCTGGCTATGGTACCAGAACATCAAGCAAATTGAATTTTTTAAGTTTAAAACTCCTGTTTTTAAGGAGTTCTAGAGTCTGAGAAAAGGGTTGGTGCCTTTTTTTTTTTTTTTTGCTATGGGGGTCTTCAGACTGATGCAATTTGGCTCTGGTTTTTGGCTTAGTGATTTAGCAATAAACGGCAGAGAAAATTTGTCATGTTTGCTAGAATTTTGAAATGATCTTTCTTTCCCTATTTCCTGTCCCTTTCTCTGACAACTTTTAATGGTATATAATTAAGTTAAATCTTCTGAAAACTGATATGATTCATGAGAAAAGAGTTTCTGGATGATCTATCAAAAAATATCTTATTTTAACATAACACTACTTGAAAGGGGCTAATTTAAGACATTTTAATTTTCTTTAGATGATGCATAGTGATTCCAGGCAAAGATGGCTTTAGGGAAAGGTTCTGTCCAAAATACTTGGATGCTGGCCTTGGGTCAGCCATTCACTTGAGTACTTAACTTTGCAGTCACCTTTAGACAAATTTAATAGGGGTCTTGAATTCTAAACATAGAAGTTTTGTTTGGTCACCACTCTTTCCTCCTAAATAATGATTTTGAAGGCTTTAGGAGGGGTTTGTAACTACCAGTTTCCAACAGATCCTAACATTCCCTATTATCTTATACCTGGCATCTGTTTTCATTTGTGGATGTGTTTGGTGTCCTAAATTCATTTGAGTCTGGGATTTGGTTCCTGGACAGCCCTTGACAGAGGTGGGAAGAACCAAGAATGAACCCTTGTGCAACCCAAGATAGTGTTCCTTTTTGTTCTTATCTAAGTGCCTCATTTACTCAGTTAAAAACTTTGGAGCAATTAGATCGGGTTTGACGAGCTGATGCTCTACTACTGAGGTGGTCTCTGAAAACCAACCCAGGGCAATTCTGGTATGGCCTGGCCTCTTGGAAGAGCCCCCATTCTCACCCCTGAAGTTGTCCTGGATATTGTCACAGCGCTCCCACAGAAAGCCCACTCAACAGAGCAGTATCATTTATGGAGGTATTACTGAAGATTGTGTAGGGAGTGGGAGGGTTATACTTATCACCATGCAACTGTCGAAAGACAGCTCTGTTATCCCCTAAAATTTCCTCTCCAACTATCAGCCATGTTATCCCCCTCTTTTCCTGTTCCACAAGTAGGGTCTTCAACCTAGTTCTTCTGGGTCCTGATATCTAACCTTACTTTCTCTCTCCCCTACCCCCACCAATATCTCTTCTTTTTAGCATGGGGAACTACTCAGCCCTTTCTCTGCATTTCCTTCTGGCCTGCTTGCACAGCATGTGATGGTCCATGCTTAGGTTCTGTCCTCACAGAGGAGCTGTCTATGTGCTGCTGGGGGTGTAGTTGAGATTGTGAAACAATAATTGTTTTTCCTCCATTCACAGATTTTTTCCCTTTATTTTACTGTTAACTCAAAGCTATTTTATTATCATGGGAATCAGGTGAGAATAAGGGGCAAGCATGTTTTGAAAACAAAACAGTAGAAGCACATTCAGGTTCTTGTTCCCCTGTCAAATTATGGATCGTTAATTCTACTTTTTTGTATTGGAAAACATTTTTTTTTTTTTCCTTTGGGAACTGTAATAATCTCCCTGGTTCATGGATCATTCTCCACAGGATTCACAGCACCTCTGGCAATTATCCAGATAATTTTCCTCTTAAAGCATCACTAAGTTCATTTGAATTTTATAGGTTTAATTCCACTAGACATCTATTAGAAATTAAATCTATTTAATTATTTTACTTTAATGAGACTATTTCATCTTTATTGATCGTTAATGAATTAGACAGTTGAGCGGTAGTTTCTAGCTTCGGGATTTGGGCTTTCCCCCCCTTAAAATTGCTTTACCACTCCGTGAACAGAGAGGATGTTACCAGCAATATAACTAAGTGCACTTAAGGGCTCGTTTGTTAAGTGAAGGATATGAGTGAGTTTGTTACAAACATTTACCAATTGTCAAGACATTTGGGTAGGACTGCCTCTGTAGAAAGCTGTTGCCTGTTATCTTTATTCTGTACTCCAGGGCATGAGTGACTGAAGAGCAGGACAGTGAGTGCTGGAAGAAGAAAGTTAAGAGAAAACACCATCTAAAGTTAGATTCTTGTTTCCATGCTAGCATAAGCACATACATTTAAGCCATTTGGCGGCGGGAAGTCTCTGTATTGAAAGCAATAAAAATGCTTTATGTACAAAAGGAGCAATTCATTATATGGAGCAGGCCATCTTTATAGTCAGTCTCATGTGCTTTCATCACAGAGTAATAGCGCTTGGAATTTTATCAACTATCATAATCTGCTACGGAGAGTACCATTTGTGTTACAAAGGCATATGAAGTGCTTTTCAGTTGTCACTATTTGTTTGAGAAAGAACTGACTCCTGATTACCTCTACTGGAGCCTTAAAAATTTGCCTAGTGAAAAATAAATGATGCCAGGTGATGATTGCCAGTCTTACTCTCTGTAAACCCTTGGACTTCACCAAGGCATATTAAGTATATTCATACTAGGCAAGGGGTGTTTCCCTACAAAGAGTCTTATTTGATCCTTTTAGTAATTATGTAGGCTAACTATTGTGCTTCCACTTTGCAGATGAGAAACTTGAGATCAAATTGTGGTCTAAATAAATTCCCTCTTTCCCTCTTTGCCTTACACTTTGTATGGAATATGAATGTTACTTAAATTACTTTAATAGGTGGAGAATTTTTTGTTTGTAGCTTGCAAGGTTGCAACAATGTAGTTATAGAAGAACCTTGTAAAATCTGTTCTGACCTTCTCATATCCATTACACATTCTTTGGTAGTTCATAAAATATAGCTATAAAATATCTATTTGGTGGATACTCTATCACCGATTTGACCCCCAAGATTTTTCTGTTGCTTTGCCAAGAATGTGGACATGTTTGAGCATGTAATTTGTGGTGCTTCTATTTTCACAGAAGCCAAAAAAAGCCTTGTGTAAGAATAGCAGTGACAAACATTGCTCTTGATGTCTCTATTAATGCAAAATGTTGAGCAAGAGACCTCAAGGGAAGGTAGGTGTTAAAATGAACATCCCTTTACAATGTTCATTTGTGTGCCTTAGGCCTCCACCCAGGGGTAGAGGGAAGGTTGATTCTATTTCGTGCAGATGCCTTTCTTGGAACTAGGTTTCAAAATTCCCCATGCTTATCAGGGGCAGTATTGGGTAGATCTAGTTTAGACCACACAGTCAGAAGAGAGGAGACCCAATTATACTTCCGTTTCTAAGAATAAGTGAAAAACGATTAATTTCTCTAGGTCTCAGCTTTTTTCTGTTTGAAAAAGAGGTAATGACTGACTCCTCTCTCTGTATTCTGAAAGATGGTGGAATCCTTTCATGATCTCAGGGTTTGGGTCAAGACCAAGCCTGTCTTACAGCTTAATCATGCTGTTATGTTTCGGAAACTGTGGTTTGACTTATACGCAATCCAAAGCTATGCTATAATGTGGTCTTAATAGCATTGGAATGAGAAATATGTTCTTATAATCAGGTAGAGGACATGATAACAAGTAGACTGTAATAAATGTCATAATGGTAATTACAATAACTGAAACATAGGTATTAGAATTAGATTGGTCTGGTTTTGGATCTCAGCTAGTTTTGTGATTTTCTTTTTTTCAAGCCTGTTATTTACTCTCTCTCAGCTTCACTTTTCTCAACTGGAGATAACATCAATCTCACATTGTTGTTGTGGGAATTAAATATAGTAATAAGTAGATCTAATGTGGCCAAATAATTGCTCAATTACTATAAGTTTGTTTCCCTTGTGAAATTATTTACTGAATGAAATACTTAAGAATAAGTATTTATTTATATTTGTATAAAACAAAATAAAAGAAGCATCTCCTTGGATTTTCGCATTAGGGATAGAAGTTCTGCTGTGCTCTTCTTTTCATTAAACCAAGGGGCTCAGAAAACAACATGACTTTTTTTAAACAAATTGAACAATAGTTTCAATTCCTCCTAAAGTCCTTCCTTGTAGTCTGAGATGACAGTGACAGGTGTCTCTGTGGTACACACTGAACTTGCATTTTCTCAGACAGTCTGATAAGTTCAGAAACTGATGTCACCTCCACAAATAAACAATTCTGTAGCTTCAGTTGTGTAGCATAATATCTTGTTATCCGAGCAGACTCTCTAGAAACTTCTTTTAAGTTTTGCATCAATATATCACTTGATATCTGGGAAATGAAAATGATGGAAATTGAAGATAGGCTACACTGGTCTTTTTTTTAATTTTAATTTTTATTTTTTGAGTTGGAGCCTCACTCTGTCGCCCAGACTGGAGTGCAGTGGCCGCTCCCGGCCACCGCAGCCGCGATCTGCTGGGCTCTGGCGATCCTTCCGCCTCAGCCCTCCAAGTAGCTGGAACTACAGGCACACGCTACCACACTCGGCTAATTTTTTGATTTATTGTAGAGATGAGATCTTGCCAAGTTGCCCAGGCGGGTCTCCAACCCACAGGCTCAGGCAATCCACTCACCTCAGCCTCCTAAGGCGCGGGATTATGGGCTGAACCATGGAGCCCGGGCTTACACTGGTCTTTAACATCCATCTGGAAATGCAATTAGGAAATAGTCTCAAAGCACTGAAAATGGCTGATATTTTCTCTGCCATACACATTTTCAAAAATATGAGTTGTTCTTTGGCTGCTGTGTAGACATAGAAAGCATACACACACACACACACACACACACACACACACACACACACACACACCTTGGAGCTTTTCAATACTACCTTTATCA